CCGTATTCTATAGTGACGTTATTATTAAATTATAATAGAACGTATAAATAGAAGTTGTGGTTGGAATATTTTTATAAAACAGAATATTCATTAAATGGATTGTATTTTTTTTTTTAATTATTAATAAATTTTAAAAAGGTTATTGTTTTAAATTTTCATTTGATAGATATTATTAAATAAAAATCACAATTTATGTTTCTATTTTACAAATATTTCATAAAATACTACATCAGATTTAAACAAAATCTGTCTTAATAAGCTTCTTCAGCTCCCAAGTATTATTGTTAAGAAATGTTACAGATATTTCACAATTTTATTTTCAATATATGATAGCTCCATTTAAAGGAAACACTTCAACTTGAAAATTTTTTAATAATTTAAAAAAACGTTGCTTGTTAACAATTTTCTTAGACAAGTAGTTAAAAAAAAAAAGAAAAGAAAAAAAGATGTTAATCAAAAGATGAAACAAGATAATCTTTATCGCACTAATCTCCTTACTTATGAATTTCTGATAGCAACACTGTTATTTCGAATTTTTCATCGCATAGAAGCTTCCTTATTTTTTATATCACAATGCAATCTTTATCTTATAAGTCTTTGATTAATTACTGTTTCTTAGTAATTTTCAATATAAACTTTTCCATACTTTTTGAAAGTGGATTATTGCAATGATTTATACTTGGATAAAATTTAATTAATTCATATTTTCAATATAATTTTCTTTAAAAGAATCATCGATTGTCCATTAATTAAGAATATAATTTTCATGTATTCATCTATTCTGAATGGATATGGTGAAAAATATCACCTTCTCGTTATCCGTTTCCTCTTAATGTATAACGATTTCGCACAGCAAACAACAAACAACAATGGTATACCACGATTATCTTGATCCACGTAAATGGAGTACAAGATGTAGGATTAATTATGCATGGGCGCCTGACAACATGCTGCATTAAGTTAATCAGCATCTAAAAGACTTCCCAGTCTTACGATTCAATATTATATGCCGGGTTTTCTCATCGCTTTAAGTCTAATGCCCCCAGACACCGAGGCCATTGTACAGTCTTCAACGTGAACATGTGCATGTCGAGTGTGTTTTAATTCCGCAATTATTATTAAAGATGTGTGAACATGTTGATAGAAACAACGTTTTATATACGTTTGATGAAAATAATAACGGTTGTTCCGTATCGTTAAAGAAAAAAAAAAAAAGAAAAACGATATATTCTTCAAAGTATCAATATTATTGCTTGAAAGTTTGAGATCGTTTCTAATTTTGCGATTTATGAAAGAAAACGAAATGAAAAATAATTTTAGTTTATTACTTTCTACTTTTAATATGTTGTTGTAATGTATTTATTGTGATATTGATGATATTGATATGTGATTATGTGATTCAATTATAAAATTATTAGATTGTAATTATTAATTTTAAATATTTATAAAGTATTAATTGTAAATATTTATTTATATATTACATATAAATATGTGTATTATATTATTTTATCAGAAAAATTAGGAAAATTATTTCATATAGAAAGCATTATTTAAAGTTTTTTAAATATATTTTCTTTTATTTTTGCAAGTATTATAGTAATATTTTATTTTTGTTTAATAAATATAATTCTAAAATTTTAATATACCATAAGTATTATAATATAATTTCATATAAGCTTTCTAAATAATCTAATTTTTTTGATAAAATAATATAATATTCATGTTTATGTATAATATATAAATAAATATTAAATTAATAATTAGAATATAACAATTTTGCAGTTGAATGTAATAATACAAAATTTACAAAAACTTGAAAAGCATACTTTTCCACTTAGAAAATTCAATACCTTTTGTCAATGAATATGCTCTTCCAATACTTTTAAACGTAGTATATATAATATTTAAAATACGATATAAGTAAAAAAATAAATATATAGTTCACGTTTATATTATACGCAACAATGCATTTTGTTTTAATATTGACTTTATCGACAAGTGTTTATTATCTTTTAGACAAGCGATATGTTATATTATCTTTGTATATTTATCTAATTCCGAATCTTTATTTTCATTAAAAAAAAAAACATCTTAGTATGTTAACGTTAAACAATTAATCGAGAAATTTTCACTCAAACAATTCGATAAATTATCAATCCATATAATAATATTTGTATATTCTTCGTGACAAACTGTCATATCAACATACATGTTCTTCTTTACCATTCAAATCTCTCAAAACAATCCATACATCCACCCTTAACAAATAAACACACTTTCCAACGTAAATAAATAAACGATTTTCCCACGTGCAGGAATAATTTTCTTAAATTTCCTCGTTACATAACCTATTCGGTGAAAAAGATACAAGAAAAATAGATCGAAACGGTGTAAACAGATTACGGAAATAATTTTCCGACATATTCCACCAAGATGGCGAAACTCGTGTTCCACCAATGAGCTTCGTCGTGCTCCAGTGTCGGAGGTTGCTCTCGAAAATACAATTACGTAGAGAATCGCGCGCAATAATAAATATAACACCAACCTGTTCGCTGCATGACGTCGTCATCCTGCTGTAATTTGCTGCCGGTGTCGTCCTTGTTCGAATTCACTTGTACATCCGTCATCTTCCCGGTCGACGATTCTCACGATTCGTTGTTGTTAGGGCGAGGATCCTTGTTTACCGCGGTGCTCGATTTCCACGCACTGCTTCGTCACGCCGTTGTACGCGCGTCGCGGCGGGAATCGGTAGAAAATATAACGAGAAGAGATGGTGTGCGATTCACTGCCAATTCACAAAGCGGAAGACGAAACGCGCGACACTTGCGACGCGTTTGAACTGACTGGCTCGACCGCCAGCTTTCCGGGATCACCCGAAGGCCCCACGCCTCGCCGCCGGAAATTGCCGAGCGTTTACGAACCTCTTCGCGATTCTCAGGTGCTTCGTGTCGTGTCGCGAACAACGGCTAGACGTTGATTGCGGTTTATGTATCGCGCATTCACCCTTTTGCTGAATAGAACGATACCAGAATTGGGGAAATTTTGAAATAAAACGAATACTAAAATATTTTTATACGTAATCGCATACGTAAATACCATTTCTTTTTTAAATTTCATTACGGATAAATATTTATTTATGATTGAATTCGATATATAAACGAAATATTTATTTTTCGTTTAATTTAAAACTTTTTTTTTATCTCTTAAACGTAGACAATAAATTGAGTTTTTACACGCACTATACTGTAATAATTAAAAATATATTGAAATTAAAAATTACTTATTTAAATCATTATTATAGTATGAAATGCTATTTTTTTATATTTCGATGAAATATTTATTTTAATATAGTATTTATATTAAAATATATAGATATATATTAATGTATTCTTGGACAATTTTAAAATTGAAATAAACATAAAAGTTAATAATATACAAAAATATCAGTTGAGATTTATTCATCAAGTTATAAGAATTTTATACTTTATGAAATAAAACAAAAGTAGAATGAAAAGTATAATAAAATTTTTTCACAGTACCATCATTCATGAATTTTAATACTTTATGTATTTGAAATATTATATCTTTACGTAAATATTATTTCATAGAAAAATTTGTATGACTCAAAGAAATTGATTTATCTATTTTAGAAATTTACATTTCTGATTCTATATTTTCAATCTGATGATTTTATTTTTCTAATTCTACAGGAAATAAATATTTCTCATCTGTTCTGACAATTTTATTAATTTTTATTCAATTTTTAAGATGTTTATTAAATAAACATCTTAAATAAATATTTAAAATTTATATAATTTAAATCTGAATCATATATCTTATATGTATTACATAATAAATAAATAAGTTAAAGTTATATTTTTTTTTATTAATGAAAAGTAATAATTAATATGTGCATGTATTTTACTTGTTGAGTAAAAAATGTACAACTTAATGAAATTTTTTATTAAAATCTTAATAATATATCTATCTTTCATAACTTCAAAAAATTACAATTTCATATTCTGCTATGATTTGAAAAAGATTCAGAGATGAGCTACTAATGAAATTTAAAAATAACTTTGACTCAAGAAAAAAAAAAATTTGTATTCAATGATTGATTTTTTCAAACCAGCTACTTTTTCACTCAAATGAAATAAAATCTCTAGGTTATATTTGATTCTTATATATCATTATTCTTCAATGATCTGCAATTATACAGGTTTCTCTCTTTCTCTGAAGATTTGAGATCATTTTCAATTGTATACAATGGCCTAATTTTCTTTCATCCCTACCTCACTTGACACGTGTTATCAAATATTCATTACATTCAAATTTTTATCAAAATCATATTTCTTCTTACATTTATAATCAATATTCATGTACGTGTAAATTTCTAATTCTATTACAAATATTTTTAAATAATTTTTACAAACTGCACTATATAAAGATAATAAAGAGCTAATTGATAATATTTAAACAAAATAACTTATTTAAAATATTTTAAAATAATTGATAAAAAACTAAAACAGATAATGAAAAATAAATAATGGAAGTGGTACATGAAATTTTATATTTCCTAAAATATTCGAGGAATAGAATGAATGAAATTACACCAATGCTACCTGACACAAGATACACCTACAGCTAATTTGATGATCCAAAGATTATCATATTATTCGTGTAAAGACTGAGAGACGCTCTGGATTTGTACAAAACGTGTTTCTATGATTTTATTTACATTATTCAGTTATAACATCATCCCATCGATTTGAAGCAAATCGAAACAACGTAGATGTGTACAGATCGGCAAATAGTAATATTTCAAATCCCTGATGATCTGAAGATTGTACGAAGGACACGATTTATTAAATTAAACCGACAGAAAGAATGAAATAACATCGATACGATATTTTTTTCTCGGTGTCGTAGATTTGTCATACATGTATTAAAATAATCATATATCGTTTTTATTATAAATACATATATATGTTACAACAATATTATATATATATATTTATTCAACCGAATAAAACAATTAATAACTTTGTACGTCTTTTGATTAATGTTTCGCATCGTATTCCCTTTCTAATCATATTTATTTCTCTTGTTGAAGGAATTAGAATTTTACAAAACATTTTTCACGACAAAACGTGATCAATTATTCGATCGTTTCGCGCGAAATACGTGTGAAGCGGCGCTTACACGCGCCACGAGACATTTTTAACGGGGGATAAACAATTATGATGAGTATGATGGGTGAACATGTCCCTTCTTGAGATGGAGACTGCCGATGGACGAGTACCAACGTTATGATTGCAGTGTTGTTGTTTCACTAGTCCTCTTCTCTCTCGCATAATCTACGAAGGAACGCTAGAAACGAAAAAAGAACGATATAAACACGTTGCTCTGAGAAAAAATATATATATATATATACACGTTCGTTGCCACTGGTGTGCCAATCGAATATAAGCTGAATATACATATATATATATACAAGCGATAGTTTAACCCTCGTGTCAATCAGCTTTTTCAATTGAAGGTTAAAATTAACAATGTGTTATCTTTCTTGAAACATTTTCGATGCGTGAAAATATCTATATAATGTATATATAGAAATAAAATAAGGAATGATTTTGAATTTTGTCAATTTCATGTAAGAATGTGAATTCTGTTATTTTTGGCTATTGACACAAGGGTTGTTGTGCAAAATTCTGATGTCATATAAATTATATACATTTGTATTGCACTTTGTGGTTTCATTTTTATTATTAAAATATTAAGCTTGATATTAAGTCCTGTAAGATTCGTAAAGTTCGGATGTATTGCGAAAATAATATACATTTGCGGACTTGATCGTTCATTAATATTAATGAGAAGCATCTAATTTAAATTGGAAATAAATAGTTTTTTAGAAATAATATAGATATATTGTAATAATGTTATTACAAAGAAACGCATGATTTGAATTGCGTTTTTTTTTTTTTTTTTTGAGTTTTTGAAATCCGTGACATGAATATGAATAAAAAATTGTGTAAATATTAAATATAATTAACAACATGTATAATAAATTCGAAATTAATTATATTTTATTATTATGAAATCTATTTATTACAATTATTAGTTTCTGTATTTTAAATCAATTTCAATTTTTATAATCAAAGAAAATTTGAGACATCATGTATTTAAGTAATTTATATATAAGGTAGTAATACAATAAAAGTTTTTGAGTATTGAGAAGAAAAAATTATCGATTTTGTATGAAATTTTGAATTAATGAATCGAAACTTTTTGAATTTTTTCAAACTCAGATTTAAATCGTCAGTTTTTAATGATCAATCGACTTGCAAAAAATTAAATTCTCATATTTTATTAAAACTATATGAATGAATGTATAATTAATTCTTATCAATTGAAATGACTTCAAACTATTAAAGAGAATTTCAAAAATTGCAAAAAATTTTACGATTTCAATGCTCCCAATGCTTCTAAAATCGACGACAAAGATTAATTTAACAACTTTTATCCTCATAAAATGACGAACAACTTCAGGAAACGATTAAAGTCGACGATCGTTTTCTGAAACCTTCGTCAACGACACTCTCGAGTCACGGATCTCGTGCATGAATATATCTTAAGCTTTTGTGTACGTGTTGCTGTACGAGAAGCAGGTTATCGATTTCAGCATCCCTGCCACGTAGATTCGTTGCGTCCTATAAACTGTGACATATGCGTGGTGAAACAGAAAACGAAGAGAATATTTGTGTTAATATTTTTGTGTTTATATAAACATATACGTGTATAAAGGCAAAAACAGAGTTAAAACAAAGAAGAGAAGAAAGAATGAAAGAATAAGGAGAGAAGAGAAAAAAGACAGAGAGAGAGAGAGAGAGAGAGAGAGAAGCATATATAGGAAGTGTACACTACAGGGTGTACTTACGAAGGACGATCTTTGTGACACTGACATCCTGTTTGCCTACAATAGCACCATCATCTTCTTCAAGAACGCTGTAGAACACAAAACACGTGGAAATGTTAAATGATAGGGGAGAGGGGTGAATTGGGGTCCGATCGAGTCCTCTGACTTCCTGGGCATTTTGGGTTGCTGTATAAAGTATACTCTACGGGACTAAGCTGCTGAACACCGTACAAAGGGGGGGGGGAAGGGGACAACATGTTTTGTTTACACTTTCTACCGTAACATCTACTGGTTGAACGAATTGCTGAACAAAATGCATAAAACGGTGTGTCTGAAAAGTAGTGGGATCTATTTTCTTTTTACGCCTCGAAGCGCCATCTATCTACAATGCTCGTGAAATTTTCTAGGTTATGTCTTCGTACATTTCGTATTTTTCACAAATATAAGATAAAATATGTAATGGAATAATGCTTTGTTGATGATTATTTGATCAATGGAATATAGAAAGATTTAAATAACGATGTGAAAAAAGGAATATTGTCTGACTTAATGCAAATATTATGATGTAAATAATTAATTTTATAAGAAACTTTATCTAACTTAATATTTATAATCTAGTATGTAATAGTAAATCAATATTTTATTTCGATTGAAAGACGATTTTTAAAATAAAAAAACATCGATTATTCGAGATTCGTTATTCAAATGTGATTGTTCAAACGTGGAATGACTATCATAATATTATATTCTAAAAATTAATTTATTTTGTGTAATGCATTTCTAATAAACATATTTGATTCAACACTGTACAATAATTCCAATTTTCAAAAACTAATTATTGTATTTCAATTTAAAAATTTTTACCAAACTTTTAGAAATTTCTTGAACGACTACGTTCAATGATCATGGTGCCAAAAGAATAGTGAATCGAAGGAAATAAACGATATTTTCGATGAATGTTACGAGCGGTTTGAATATCTAAATACATTCTCAGTTCCATTAATTTTCAGACATTCCGTGTATTTTTATTTGCTCGCTGCTGCTCCTCTTTAATCTTAATAGCAATGCTCTACATTAATGTGACTCACTGATGCAGCTTGTGTAACACGCTTTGTTTCTTCCTCTATTTCGCGAGATGCATGTGTTCCTTGAAATGGATCGATACTTACGGGTATAGGGGATAAAACCATCCTCGTCTTCTGGGTCCATACAATCTTTCAACACTTCGTCTACCTCTGCGTCGGACAGTTTTTCACCTGATTCACAATTATACGTGTCATTTAAATACGAAAAATTTATTTTTTTCTGGAAAATTATGATAATTGAATGTTACTTTATATTTTTTATTCTGGATTTATTAATGAAAATGATTTTTATTTTTTGTTTCTAGACTTTTTTTTTCTAGAATTCTATTTTTGTGATACGAAAGAAAACGAGACAAGAAATGATTTGTAAAATAAATAATTTAGGAGAATGTTGTGACGATACGAATTCATTTTGATCTAATTAATAATAAGTTAATTGTGTTTGTATTTAACAAATTTGAATATATTTAAATTAATATAATTTATCACGGTTGTTATTATTATTTTTCCAAAAAATGGAAATTTATTAATTCTTGGTAAAATATTATTCTTTAAAAATAAAAAAAAATTTATTTTGAGATTCCAAGATTTCTACACGTCACAAAGTTTTATGAATCTAAAAATTACGTTTCAACTCACCTCCAATTCCAAAAGTAAAAATTTTTATTTAAATTTTACTCTTTGAAGCAAGTCTTCTAATCTTGGGGAAAAAAAAATAAAAAGAGAGAACTTCAAGAGTTTCGAGAACACGAAATTAGATTTCAATCTACATCTAGAATTTTTCAGTAAATAGAATAATACATGATATGATATAATAATAGAACAAATAATAATAATTATATTACCAAGTGCAAGCAGTGTATGTGACAATTCAGCGCCAAGCATAGTTCCATTCTCCTGTTTGTCGTATAATTTCAAACACTCCACGAAGTCCTCGAAGCATCCCTGATCCTTGTCCTTTTTGCACTGGCTGTAGATTGGTAAAAATTCGTCGAGCTTCATCAATTTTTCACCCCTTTTTTTCGTCCCTCCAAGTTTCTCGATAGTGGCGTTTGTAGGATTCAGATTCAGGGCACGAAGGACGTTACCAAGGTCAATGGCGTCGATGACGTTCGTGCCATCGGCATCATAAATGGAGAAGGCGAATTCTGCCTCTATTTCATAAAAGAAAAAAAAAAAAGAAAAAAAGTAAGAAAGAATACGTTACATTATATTATTAATTATATATGTATATAGTATATTTTTGTTCAAATAATGAAAAAATTATTTATTGTAAGATTTTAAAACGAATAATATAATTTTGATAAATAAAGGGGATTATTATTATATTATTTAATTTTGGAATAACATTTCACGTAAGATAATTAATGGTATTATATGCAATAGAGTTATATCGATAAATATATTATTATTTTATGAAGGATGATCATTTATTTCTGCAAATAAATCCATGGAAAAAGAAATAATTTGAATTCTCAACATTATTCTTTAATAACAAAATTTCGAAGTTATTAATAAATATGTGAAATAACGATTCGATCGATCGTGGAACCTTTATTTAACTTCATTTTAAAGGGTATTTAGATGTAGAAATCTAAGGAATAAGCATCTTGTTGAAATTTTCCTCTCAGGAAATATCAAAAAATTAAATATCAAACTTTACATTTCAAAGTAAACTTTCTTTCGCCCTCGCCACTTTCTTCCTTTTCAAAATAATGCAGCAAAATAATTTTTCTTTCAAAAGCGACGAATCAGAAACCTCTCCTTTCGAGATAAACAAGATCGCCACTCGCCATCACTGCGACTCGTTTCAAATCGTTTCACGCGAGAAAAAAGAAGAGAACAATTTGTTTTCACAGTTCGCCCGTAGAAAGGGTTAAAAATGTCAAATCGCGAATTTAGGCGAGGAACGTATACCCTACGTAAAATCTGGGTTAATATCAGCGTGGCTGTTTCGTGCGTACCTGGTTCAAAAATATTATTCTATTTTGAGACGCAGCGGCTCCCACCCAGCAACCGATTCAAGAAGTTGCTGGTGGAAGTAGTGGGTCAGATTACCCCCGCCGAGCCATATAAGAGCACGGCATTAACTATTTTTGAAATCACGCTTCCCCTTCTGGGGGTGATTACACCTCTGTTTTACCGAATACTTACGTAACACTTGCCACGAGGCGTTAAGTATTTACATTTAGAAAACGTGTTGCATATCCAAAAATATATACAGAGGCGAGTGTGAATCTATAAATGTGATTCTATCTCTAAGCTTCGATTCAATATTGAATTTTCTAAATTTTCTGTATCGAGTTTTTTCTCTACCGTTTAAGAATTTGAAAATTTTATTCGGTCGATCAATTCATTTCAAAATTTATTTCCCTCTAATTTCACTTTTACGATTTTTATCTCTAATGGAATTATTCGTAATATTCGATAAATATCACCTTTCCTACAATTTTAATTTTATTATTAATCTTAAGTGTAACTAATTAAGGGAAAAGATTATTAATTGCATTTAAAAGTGTAAATATTCATATCAAATTTTCTCTTTCACAATTTTGCATTCTTCGTTCATCTTAAATATTATCGATTATTCGCACATGCAAATATTATTCGAAAATTATGTAAAATAAAATTTATTAATATCAGGAAGTTCGATTTAAAAATACGACAATTTTCATTCTGAAATACTCGCAGGATATAAATACGAGTTTTAAACGTATTTCTCGATTCTTTTCTCGAGGAACATATTGAAATATAAAACGAATATATTTTACTGCGAGGAGTTTAACTTCCTCGAACAAAAATGTCATGATCATGAATCTACAATAATATCTTTATATCTTTCGTAGAACCTTTTTACACGAGCACGTTTTTCTTTGATCTTTAACTTTTATTTCCCTCGCGACATTTAAAACCCATCTCCGTGGAAAATTTCCCTCACTTCCGGTTACACACGAAACGACTCGCGATATTCACTCGACAATTCACTGGTTATCTTAAAAAAAAAAAGAAAAAAAAAAAAGAAACGTTACCATTTTACAGTCTTTTGTTCTCTCAAATTGCTCAAAATTCCTCTTATTTTTATCGCACAGATTAGAACAAACACACAAATCAACTACTTCCCATTATACGTTTTACTCACTTTCGACTTCCTTGGCGCTGAGATCTGCCTGCAAATTCAAAAGAGAAACATTTTTTATCGATGAAAAAATATAGGGGGGGGGGAAAGGTACTTTTAAAATTAACCATCACAAATACTTTGAAACCTGCTTGAAAATTATTCTGAATATATATTATACGACGATAAATAATAAATAATTTTTTCCGTATAAAGATTTACGTTTAAAATATGAAGAGAAAAATATTCCAAACAAATTTAAGGATATATATTTATGGGGAAAAAATTTGTTTAAATTCTCAGGTCGCATATATCGTGTGATTGGACGATAAAAATCGGCAAGCTCACCATGTTTCTAGTCTAGTCTGGCCAAGATGTTAATCGTACGGAGCGTGAACCAGAAGTGGTATCGGGTGTTACCAAATTTATTCATTTTATTTCTGTAGATGGCGCGGTTGTCAGGACACACGAGAATTAACATGGAGATCTGGCCGAGGAGAGTTTGGAGGAGGAGGGTATCGGCAACACCGCGGTCCAAAAACAGTTCGAGAAGCTTAACGCGGGTTCAAAGCTGCGCTTCCTGCTACGATAAATGGTTTTCCGTTGGTGGCTTACGCGTGTCAGGGCTGCCAGATCTGCGACACGGGTTATAGGCGAGGAGAAACGAAAATATACACAAGTGATGGCCTTCGATTCCGTGCACCTATTGTGCACGGCCCTTAAAACTCGGCCAATTTCCGCATTTCTATTTCTTTATCAAATTGAAATTGAATCGTTCTCTCCCGATCAATGTTTTGAAATTGGCCCATTTTGTACGGTCGTTGGTGAAATTTTATGGGTCAGTCTCATGTGAGTTACTAGTCAAAGTATTTTATTGTATCGGGTGAGATTTTTAAAAGTTACTAATCATTTGGTGTTCATGGATTTACATTAAAGCGATGAGAAACGGAAATATACACATTTTCGTATATTTTTATCTTTTATCACGTTGAAATTGGTCCATTTGTACGATCGTACGAATTGTTAGAGGAAATTTTACGAGTCACTAGCGTGAATGAATACTTAGTATGAAATTTTAGAAATTATTCCCGATGGAATATAGTATAGTTACATAACGATGGTAAAGAAGTATTGCAATGAAGATGAAGAAGAATGGAATGTCCTATTTAAAATGATATACTCGAATATCGTGGAAATTAATGATATTGGGAAATATTTTAGATAAAAATTTGAACGTTTAGAAGGTTCAGAAGCTGTAAATTTGACTTATATAATTGAAAAATTTATTATCCAAATTTCCAAAGTTGGCAAATCAATTAAACAATCCTATTAATAATTCAATATTGATTTATCGATTAAAAATTAAGAGAAGAAAAAGATTCTCGAATAGTTAAGCCATTTTCCAGGAAATGCGACTTACATTGGCTTCGATTGACTTCTGAACTCTTCCAATCATTCAAATCATTTAACCTTTGTCCAAATATTTTTCAATATCGTTCATATAGATTTCGAGATATTCTAATTTAAAACAGGACACTCTGTATACGTAAAAATAAATTTTATGCATCACTCGTATATATTACCTCGTCAATACACTTACTATTAACAATATCAATTAGTAAAGGTTCCCAATGTTATAAATTTTCTTTCACAATTACTTTCAACCGTTTAATAATCCATTTGATATAAACACTGAGAAGTCAAATTGGTCGAATTCCATTTCTTTTTTTTTTTTTTGGAAAATTCTTTTCGGAATTCAATCTCATTTATCATCCTTTTTATCAAACATCAACAATCAACAACAACGAGATCGATCGATTTATCCTCCAAGTATCGCTGCTATTATCAGATATTACAGATATTACGATTCGAATTAAATAAAAAAAAAAATTGTAAAATGACGTAGAATCTCATACTCAACTTAATCCTTCGTTCAAAATTAAAATAAACTTTATTGTTTACCAAAAAAAAAAAAAAAAAAAAAAAAAAGAACACTGCGTTATATAAAAATTGTAAGCTACATCTTCCCTCCACGGTGTCCTTAGGAACGCGTGGAATTTATTTCACGTCTTATATGAATATATATATATATATATAACTCGGTAAGAGGTTAAGCGTGCGTAGACTATTTGCTGCACGCCAGTGGCCAGTCGATGACTAAACTAGGGAGTTTATATTTAAACGCGGCACACGCGCGTTTCTCGTTTTAAAAGAATTATAAGTTTTACACAAATTCGTTCGTGTGTGTGTGTGTGTGTGTGTATGCGTGTGCGTGTATACGTGTGTGTAAATGTGTGCTTATTTTATTTTTTTCTTTTTCTTTTTTTTTTTGTTTAACAGACAGATAGATTGCTCGTCGATATTCCGTTCCGTCGAGGAGGAGGAGGAGAGGAAGAGAGAGAGAGAGAGAGACAGAGAGAGAGGAAAAAAAAGCTGGACAACCGGCCGATGGCTCCCGATGGAAAATCATTCTTTCGACGGCCGAAAATCGTGCGGAACAGCTTCCTCGTTCTGCTCAGGATACCCTTCTTCTTCGTTTCCTCCGACTGCGTCTCGTTGTGGGTGAGGCTCTTCGTTTTCCCGGACGGGCGTTGGTCCGCGTCGGGCGGCAGGGGGGAGGGCGTGATGTCCTCGATGGCCACCTCCTCCAGGGAGGAGTTCTTCGGGAACGGTGTCGAGGAACCGACGAAGGACGACGCGAGGCCGTCGTAGGCGAAGTCGCAAACGTCTGTCCTGCTCTCGGGGATCGATTCCACGTAATTTTGATCGGGGTCGTCGATACTCTCGATGGTCCTTATGAACTGCTCCTCGGACTCCTCCCAGACCTCGATCTTCTCCTTGCTCACGGCCGGCCCGGACTCGTTGTTCCCGCGCTCCTCCTTGCTGTGCTCCCCCATCCTCGACTCGAGCTCCTCGATCATTCGATAGATCAGGCTGGTGGACACCCTGGTCGCCTCGGAACTGTCGGTCACCTTCTCGGTGAGGCGGGTGCAGGTCGGGTCCGCCGCCATCTCGATCACCGCGTCGTGGATTATCTGGTGCACGTCGCCCTGGCCCTGGCTCGAGTGCGTCTCCACGGGGGTCGCGGGCTCCGTGTATATGATATTGTCGATGTTGTGCACGATGTGTTTCACCTTTGGGATCCGCCACAGATTATGGATAAATGTAGTATGATGGGGTTATTGAGGATATTGGAAGGTGGAAATTGAAATCTTATTCTTAGGAATACAACAAAGAGGAGAAATACAATTTTGTGTGTGTGTGTGTGTGTGTGTGTGTGTGTGTGTACGAAGGAGGAAGGAAGGTCTGG